TGCGGAAACAGAGTGTCAACTTCTTCCGTGACGGCTTCAGAAAACCTGTTCATTGTTGGCAGAAATGTATCCAATTGGCTGGTGATTATGTGGAAAAGTGAATAGTGGTTGTTAAAGGGCACATTCTAAGGTTTATTTCTGCATTTGATTTATTAAAATATTTCCATCCAAACCCAAGTAACAAAGGTGGAGGCATTACTTTTCATTCAACCCTCATATTAATGTCACCATTTTGTCTTAAGACGATCATTTCCACTTAAAACATTACATAATTATCTGAATGAAAAGGTTTCATTCCTTTACAGCAGCGGTCCATCTAAAATTACTTGAAAGAACACAACAGTAAGAACAAACTTTTCCTATCAGCCAAAAGCAGGCCCACACTTCCCATTAAAATACTGTTACATTTATGTTGGTTAAAATTGTTTTCCATTTTCAATACTGTATTGTTCCTTCATTTTTTGCACTACAGTGTCCAGTGTGTATAGGAATTCCTTCATGTTTTTTTCAAACTATAGTCCGGGCCTCCAACAGCCTTAGGAACCATGAAAACTTTGTTTCATTTGCATCAAAAATTGCATTTAGAGTATTTATAATTTCCATTTTTGGTTTTACAAATTCTACCTTCTCTGGTTCATGCGTCTCGCTTTCCATGTTCCCCTAAATGCATTYTGCAGCTCTGGACTTCCTTTATACATATCAACAGATGAATGTTTTTTCACCTGAAAACATACCGTAACAACCGCGTTCCTCTCCCCCTTCCAACCCCCCCCCCCCATTAACACGCATTGCTTTGGGTGCTTCAACGGAAAATATTTTCACCAGTGTTAAATATATGGGCACAAAACTGCTGGAGATGATGTGATTAATGGTTAAGTGAGTAAGGGAAACTGAGAATGAGTATAATGGTAGYAGGGCTTTAACATCACCTGTTTCCTATTTTGTACTTKAGTTTATTTCTTCTTACAGTCTCACTATCTCTCTTATTCCTTCTCCTCACACATCACCTCMTATGAATAACTGCTTTACTATATGGAGTTCTTTGCTCCATTCTCTGGTACATATTTATTTATTTATTTAAAACATTTATTTATTTAAAACATTRATATTCTGCCCTTCTCACCCTGAAGGGGACTCAGGGCGGAGCACAGCATGTACACGGCAAACATTCAATGCTGGGACACAAATTCACATACATTAAAAAAATTATAAAAATATCATAAACATTAAAAAAAATCAAAATATTAAAATACACCATTTAAAACCGTTCTAGTCATCCGTGTCAAATCTAATTGGCCTGGTCATCTTTCCTATTGCTGCTTTATTGCCCTGTCCTGAAAGCTTGGTCATACAGCCAAGTTTTTACCATCCTTCTGAAGAACAGGAGGGAGGGGGCCGACCTGATCTCACRAGGAAGGGACATCATAATGTTTCCCCATTAAATTAAAATCACAGCTATCACTAATCAGAGTTTATCTATCACCAGCAATTAGAACCTACAGAAAGACTGAGAGTATGTGAGCTCTGTGCATATTTCAAAAAGGCAAGTCATAATCAATTCCCATAAGTATTGTATAGGCAGATATTAATTTAATAAACATTGACATCTTTTCCATCCTTTCCAGCCTTAACTTCCACTTTGCTGCAACCCAGTAACAATCTTGTAAATATGTAATATGCAAGGGTCGCTGAATACTAATCACGATGTCATTGCTTCCTGCAACAAATACAAATATATAAATGTAGGAAATGTATTACATCTCATCCAAGTCAGTTACTGAACTGGAAAAAAGCATTAGAAACCAAAACAACCCCTCCTCACAAGTCCCCACCTATTGACCAGGTAATTCACTTAAAACCCTGATATTTTCTAGATATTATGAATAAAATGGGCAGAACATACTACAAGAACGTGGTCTCATGTAATGTAATGTAGTTTATAGTTTATATGTTTTATGTCGTACTGTGGCATTGAATTATCGCCAATTTGGAAGCTGTGCTGAGTTCCCTTTGGGGTGAGATAGGGTGGGGTAAAAATACAGCAAATGAATGAATGAATGAATGAATGAATAAAGCTGCGCCTGATCCAGTGGATCAGTTTGAAGCAATAAAATTAAATCCTGCAAAAACAAATGTAATGACTGATAGCACTGCTATTTTTTCATGTAGTAAATGTGTCCTCATTATTTGTAGAACAGTGCCTCTCTGGAACCATTGTCTCAAAAAGATAATTGTACTCATTGTAAAGACAATAGAAGGCACAATAATGAACATCTCCCCCTATGAACCATCTCAGAGATCTTCTGGGGAGGCCCTTCTCTCTGTCTCACCTCCTTCGTAAGCCCTGTTAGTGGAAGCGAGAGACAGGCCCTTCTCAGTTGGTGGCCCCTTGGCTCTGGAACTCCCCCCGCAATGAAATTAGACCACTGCCCTCCCTCCTGGCTTCCAGAAAAAAACAAAGACATGGCTATGGGATCAAGCCTTCAGGCAGTAAAGTACAGCAGTACAAGAAATGAATAGGAATAAGTGGAATTGACAATAGGAATGGCTTCGGATGATGATTCTGGATTATGTGATTTGAATGTTATATTTAGATGTTTTTAATTCTATGTTTTAATTGTTTTAAGTGTCTGTTTATGTTCTATGTTTAATATGACTTTAAGGGTTTAATTTATAGTTATGTTATTGTTTTAGTTATTATGCTGAGATCTTTTGGCACGGCACCCAGTGCGCCAATGACCACTGGGACCACCTGTACTGGTTTATGCCAGAGCCTTTGTAGTTCGATTTTGAGGTCTTGATAGCGGCTGAGTTTTTCCTGTTGTTTTTCCTCAATGCGACTGTCACCCAGTATGGCGTCATCAATAATCCAGACTTTTTTCTTTTCCACAATCGTGATGTCTGGTGTATTGTGTTCCAAAACTTTGTCAGTCTGGATTTGAAAGTCCCACAGTATTTTTGCATGTTCATTTTCCACGACCAATTCTTTACTGCTGGTAGGTGGTACTTGTGACATAAGTTCCAGTGAATCATCTGGGCCACAGAGTTGTGTCTTTGTTTGGAGTCCGTCTGTGTGATTTTCTTCCGACAGCTGAGGATATGATCCATGGTTTCATCAGCTTCCTTGCACAGTTTGCATTTTGGGTCATCCGCTGATTTTTTAATCCTGGCCTTAATTGCATTGGTTCTGATGGCTTGCTCCTGGGCTGCAAGAATCAGGCCTTCTGTCTCCTTCTTCAGGGTTCCATTCATGAGCCATAACCAGGTCTTCTCCTTGGCAACTTTTCCTTCAATCTTCTCAAGGAATTGCCCATGTGAGGCTTTGTTGTGCCAGCTGTCAGTCTGGGGGCAGAGGACTTTTACAAGTCAAACAAGCAATTGAAGAAGAAAAATACGCCCTGGCAGAATATGTCAAGGAAAGCCAAGAACCTGCTTTAATTGAAGTCAATAATCGGAAAGTTCTCAAAGCACAGCAGACAAAGAGTCAGTACAAGAAAACTGCACATAATAAATAAATAAATAAATGTATTCATTTTGTGAAGCAGAGGTCCACCTTCCTAGCAGGATATGAAAAAAAACCCTTTCTTGCTGCCTTATGATTTAAGTTACAAAGATCATTTAAAGAACATTAAACTGAAAGTGTTACTACCTTTCATGAACTGTTATTAATTGTATGTAATTGTAGAATTTTAAATTGCGATGCTTTACTCATAGCTGTGTCCTTCATCTTAGAAAAGGCAGCAATAATTTAACAGATCTAAAAGACCATAAAGTGCCACGGTGTGCTGCAGCATGAATCAAGCCATTTAAAGCTCATCAAGCAAAGTCGGGGAAAAGACCAACATAAGCCCCTTAATGTGTACCAGTGAGCTCCAAATATAAACTCCATTGCATGGTGAAATCAGCTCTGCAGAGTGTGAAGCACATTGTAGACACCCACCTAGGGGGAGGAGGTGACAAAAAACACCGCAAGGAATAGCTGGAAATCAGAGGGTCAACTGAGCACCAGAACAAAAAATGTATTAGTTCTGCTGCAGTGGGTTAAACCCCTGTGCCGGCAGGACTGAAGACCAACAGGTCGCAGGTTCGAATCCGGAGAAAGCACGGATTAGCTCCCTCTGTCAGCTCCAGCTCCTCATGCAGGGACCTGAGAAGGCTCCCACAAGGATAGTAAAACATCAAAACGTCTGGGCATCCCCTGGGCAACGTCCTTGCAGACGGCCAATTCTCTCACACCAGAAAGTGTGTTTCTTGCAGTTTCTCAAGTTGCTTCTGACATGACATCTCCCCCCCCCACCCACCCCCCACCCCCCGCTGGTATGCATCTTGGCAATGAATGAAATGGGGTGGATTAATGCATTATCTGACGGCTATGAAGGATACTGAAGATTCTGTACCTGGTTTTAGGCTAGTTTCTGTGATAGCGTAAAAACACCTTCCTGGCCTCAACGCTGTTCCAGATGTGTCAATTTAATCATCTGCACAGCAAAACTGGTTTCTGCCAAACTGGTTCTGAACCAACCTAAATAGCCAGTTTTGCTGTGCAAATGATGCCTGTTTTGCTACTAGCAGCATTTTTGGAATTAGTGATGTTATGAAATATGCTGCGTTACAGATGCTCTTCATTCACAGTCCTGGAAACCCCAATAAGAATGGCAACGAATTAGGTATGATGGGTATTGTAACTCAAAACAATATGCAGAGCACAACCTTCCAAAAGTCTAGAGAAGGCTGAAATATAGAAAAAAGATCAACATTAGCTGTTCTGACTAATCATTTTGTATCTTTCATGTCACACAACGATTGATATTTTGAAGCAGTCACAGATCAAACACCACAGACTACTTTGATGTTATCTCAAAAAAAAAAAAGAACATATAGGTATACATATATGCATCAATGAAGCCTTAGAACAGCGACCTTTCAGCACTGGGTTATGGCTGCCTTGTCTCTCTGCTTTCTTATTCATATTGCTCCACAATCCTGTCTCTATTGCTTACCTGAACCTCTTTTTAACCGTCTTCTTGCCAGTTTGATTTGATCTTGTAGAATTTGAACCCAGTCTCTTGGGCCAGGCAATTTATCCACATGGTTTGCCGTGCAGTATTTTTCTGTGAACACTAAAATCAGAAGACACAAAGCATAGATCATCATGACCTATTTGACCAAAGGATTTTTGACAGCTGGAAAGAGACAAACAATTTCAAATGCAATAACTAGGGAAAGGAAAAGCAGAATGAAATGCAAAGTTTTACATACAAACTTAGAATTGAAAAGAATGTTGTGTTTCCTGACAAAAGGTTTCCCTATTGTGTAATACTGTCATGTGAACAACCCTTTTTGCGCGCCCATAGGTATGAACATCGGATACTTTTTTAAATTGCTGTTGTGGTTTATGTAATTGTAATGTTTTTAATTTTTTTTTGTCGTGTCAGGAGTGACTCCTGGTGTGAGAGAATTGGCCGTCTGCAAGGACGTTGCCCAGGGGACGCCTGGATGATTTTGATGTTTTTATCATCCTTGTGGGAGGCTTCTCTCATGTCCCCGCATGAGGAGCTGGAGCTGATAGAGGGAGCTCATCTGCCTCTCCCCAGATTCGAACCTGCGACCTGTCGGTCTTCAGTCCTGCCGGCACAGTGGTTTAACCCACTGCGCCACCGGGGGCTCCATGTTTTTAAATTGTATCGTGACACTTTGTATACTGTTTTGTTGGAAACTGCCTTGAGTCGCCAATAGGCTGAGAAGGGCGGTATACAAACACAGTAAATATATAAATAAATAAATACCTTCAAATAAGCAATGGTCTTACATGCACACTTGAGGTGGTGAAGTGTCTCACGGAGGCCCTTTAAGTCTGTTGGCTACCTTCAACTGCTTAAAGTTTAGAGGCCTCCATGAGACACTTCACCACCTCAAGTGTCCAAATCTCTGAAGAATTCAATACATATTTGACATTGAAAAAATCATGAACAGAAGATGGCATTGAAATTCCAGAAATATTCTTAACTAGACATCTAAATAGAGGACAATAACAACTCTGTTTGATGATCACTGGTGCTAACTGACATAACAGAAATTTAAAAACACCATGCATAGCTTTGATTCTGTAAACAAAAATGATCAAGGATATGTCTTCCATACACACTTTAAGCTACACTGAAGTCTGTCTGTAGGTTTAATCTATACACTGATTTGGTAAACATCTTTGGTATATTCCTAGAGAAGATCATCATGACCTATTTGACATTAGGCTGTTTCCTTGAAACAAATATCTTAAATACCATTTTAAGTGAATCTAAATATGATACAAGAAAAAAAGAAGATAAACAGAAGCTCTGTCGTATTGCAGGAAGGATTATAGCAAAATCCATAACGTTAGCATCTCAAATTATTTTGCATTAAGATTATATTGAATTTACTCCTCCAACAGTCTTTCACGGCTATGGAAAGACTGTTGAAAATGAAAAATAATCTGAATTTGAGGAATTTGCATATTATTCCCTAGAAAATATATCCATATCCCAACTTATGAAAAAATGTGCTTGGAATGAAAACTATCTTGTGGTAACAATAGCTGTATATACACCCTCCCAGATTCCAAATGAAGAAATACCCAAGACACAGAAACACATTGGAACTATACAGACTTTACCAATATGGCAATAGGAATCAGCTGCAATTTATCTGAACTGAAGAGAAGCAACAGCAAAAAGCCTGAAGTAAATGTGAAAATGAGGCACTGATCAGATGCAATAGTCAAAAGAGATGGAGATGAAAAAAAAGGTAGTGAGGAGTGTGTTTTCTCTGGTAGGGAAGAAGAGATAAGCACCCCAAGAATCAATTTAACTACAATGCCTATTTATTGTTGAATATGGACATTGGTAGGTCGCTTCTGAGTAAAAAATCTATACAAAGAATTATGATGTAGGAAAAAAATAAGTCTACTTGACTTGGGAGTATTCCTGACTTCCTAAAGTGAGAGAGAACACTATTATTCTGCATTAAGAATATAGTAAATTGAATTATATTGAATTGAATTATATTGAAAAAATAGTCTGACTTGGTTTGGCAGGATTCCTGACTTCCTAAAGTGAGAGAGAACACTGATCAATAAAATTAATTAAATTAATGCATTATTTTCCTTACAGTCTTTATCTAACTAACTTTTTGGATGTATATCTTGCAAAATTTCTGGTATTAGAAAAAAAGGGCAGAGGTTTAATTAAAAAACATTTGCACGGAGTGGTACAGAAACTTCTCACAACAATGATGCAAAGTCATAACAACTATCTTATCATTCTTGAGGATGTCTTAGACTGGTTGATCCACTACAAGGAATAAATGGATCTACAGTATCTTGTAGAACAGCTTTTCAAAAGGAAAATGTACAAATGGAGACAGGCAGAGTAAAGTTCCACAGTGTGCCAGCCCTTGCTGTTTACTTCTGGGAGCAGAATCCCCTACCAAACACAGCAATAGAATTTGTGTTATTATTATAATAGCAGTGCCTAGCAGTGCCACCCCAATATTATCAGCTGCTAGATGTAACAGAGAACTGTAATTCAGATGGAGTTTGGTATTTTAAAACTGCATTTGGGGTCTAAAATTTCATTATGCTTGTTTTAACTATTTAGTGAGCACAAACTCATCTTTCTCCAAGAAAGTAATATATCAGTCTTGATTGTAAATATTTTTCCAGAATTGAAGTATGGCTGTTTTCAAAGTTTTTCATATAATACCAAAACTTCTAAGTAAGAGGTTTTATGTCTTCTAATCTCATTTGACCAAGATGCTACCAACTAAGATAAAATATCTACACTTTTACAAATTAAGAAAAGTTGCCCAACTGGTAGCCTATATGCAACTGTTTTCCAACAACTCAATTCTCCTCATTATGACATTCATCCAAACCTATTTTGTTCACCAAATCCTAGCCTAATATCTGGATTCCCAGCTAGGATATATATCCTACAGATCAGAACTTCTGTAGAATGTAGAACTTTGCTGAAGCAAAATTATCCAAGAACTTATGTTATCAACAGGCATTTTTAAAATTTCACTTCATCCTAGTACAGTCCTGAGCAGCTACATCTGAGCAGGGAGCTGCCCAGCACCAGCAACATCTGTGAAGGGAGCCCCCATGGCCCTCAATGCCTTGCTGCCCGGCACTTGTAACATCTGTTGATGTGTGAGGACTACTTACCTGGATTAGCTAAACTGAGGCTTTTCCATCAACTCCTTACTGATTGTTTTGGGTAGCCTTGGTGGCTCTGGTCCTCATCACAAACTTTCGTTATCGCACTGTCTACAAGATCGGTAATTGAAAACTACACAAACTGACAAACAATCATGTCTGACCATTTTAATGATTTTAATTTACAGTTATATGTTATTGTTTTTGATAAGTAATGTATTGTTTTTATTAGTATGTGAGGCATTGAATTTTTGCTAATTATTATGCTGTACACCGCTTTGAGTCCCCCTAGAGGTGAGAAGCTATGTCTGGTGTACAAGGTTTAGCCCTGAAATGGTTCAATTCGTTCCTCCGGGACCGGAGAGAGGGTGGAGTGGTTAGGCCAAAGTTCTGAGAGCTCCTGCCTTTGCTGTGGAGTTCCCCAGGGTGCTATCCTCTCGCCCCTGTTATTTAACATCTACGTCCGGCCACTTGCTGGACTGGTGCGGAGCTTTGGCATAGAGTGCTACCAGTATGCAGATGATACCCAGCTACTCTTGCGTCTCGAACCTGGGACAACCACGATTCCTGAGAAATTTAGGCTGTGTTTGGAAGCAGTGATGAGTTGGCTGCGAGCGAGCAGACTAAAAGTGAACCCTGCAAAAACTGAGATACTCTGGCCCGGCCAGCCGCCAGAATTAATCCAGTCTGCCTGATTTCGATGGGGAAGCTCTGGTTCCATTTGCCACTGTTAAAAGCCCCCAATTGTGTTGGACTCATCACTGACAATGGAGACCCAGATCACTGCCATAAGTAAGCAGGACTATTTTCATCTTCGCCAGGCAAGGAAATTGGCATCCTACCTTTCGGTAGAAGCATCGGCAACAGTAATCCACGCAACAGTCACCACGAGGTTGGACTATTGCAATGCCTTATATGCCGGCCTTCCGAAGTCAACAACCCAGAAGATTCGAATGGTCCAAAATGCGGCGGCCAGGCTGCTAGCGGGATAATCTATTACACCGATTCTGCAACAACTGCATTGGCTACCAATAGAACATCGGATCTCTTACAAGATACTGATCCTGACATTTAGAGCTCAAAATGGCCAAGGACCTTTATATCTTAGGGACCGCCTCATTCCTTTTCTCCATCAGTGGTCTCCTCGATCCACCCAGGAAAATCTCCTATACATACTGGGCCCTAGGGAGGTACACCTGGAAGCTACAAGGTGTAGAGCTTTTTCTATCTATGCTCCAATTCTGTGGAACTCATTGCCTCCATACATTAGAGCAATGTCGGAGTTGCGACCTTTTGTAAAGGCACTCAAGACTTGGCTGTTTGGTTGTGCATTTAAGTAATCAGATCTAATTTGCCAAATAGTCACTGTTGAATGTTTTTATGTTGAATGTTTTTATATTGTGTAAATGCTATTTTAGATTGTAAGTCGCTCAGAGCACCTTGGTGGAGAACGACTAATTAAGAAATAAAGTGAAGTGAAGTGAAGTGAAGTGAAGAAAAGCGGTATAGAAATGCAGTAAGTAAGTATGTAAGTAAGTAAGTAAGTAAGTAAATAAATAAATAGGTAAATAAAAAAAGAGAATGGCTGAACATTAGCTTCAACTTGCAGGATTTATGGGAAACTGAGGAGTACATGATTCCCCCCCTCCCTGCTCTGTGCAAAGGCCGAAAATGGGATATGGCTTGAAATCTGTGGCTTGAAAAAAACAAAACTGGTACCTTGTACATTTTCTTTCTGCATAGAAGCCATCAAGCCAACCATAAATTTAGCAATAGCATCTTAAATCATTGCTATTACTGCATCACTTTCCACTGAATCAAGGTTGTTATCAGAGAAATAATTAATCGGTAGATAGAGCTTTCAATAGAACAAAAAATGCACCACATCCTTCACTAATCTCTAAGCATGAAACTAATCTTATTTCAATGACCATCAGTAACATTTCACCAAGCCCAGCTTTACAGCTGAACTAAAAATTGAAACACATCACAAATAGCTGCACACCGAATTTTCATATGCACTGATTTGCAGAGTACCACATGAAGCAGAAAAAACATGCACCATAGTATTTCAAACTGCAGGAGAAGTATAGGATATGTGGGTGCTACTTCATAGAAACAGAGCTCTTCTCACATACAGGAAAGTGAATGTCAACCAGTGGTGTTGCTTAGCCCTTTTCCATGACATGCTAGGTTTCTATTCTACACAGTACTTGTAGGGTAATGACACAGACTGGCATTCCTCCAACCTACCATTCAAAGTGGTGTGCTGCAGCAGGCCCGTAGCCAGGATTTCGTTTCCGGGGGGGGGGGGGGGGGGTCTGAATTTTTTTCAGGGGGGGTTCGGGGGGCTGAGTTTCGGGGGGGGGCTGAGTCTGAGTGAAAGAGGGTCTAGCCTAGCAAACCTTTTGTATCATTACCCCAATACCCCCATGCATATGGGATATATTGAGTATGGTGATCAGATCATGATATGAATAAACATAACAGTTTAAATAATGCACCAGTAAGGCCTTTTCGCGAACCACCATGAGAATTTCGGGGGGGGGGGGGCTGAAGCCCCTCAAGCCCCCCCCCCCCCCCGGCTACATGCCTGTGCTGCAGGGATGGTATTACAATGTTAACATTATCAGGGAGAAACTTGCAGAAACACTTAGTGAGAAATGACCAGTGCATGTTTTATCAGGTTTCAAAGTGTGACACGTCACAATCACTATATGAAATTGTTAGAGCACAGCTGTAATTAAACACAACAATACCTTTTATTGCACCCACGATATTTTGGTCTAGTCCTTTTCGGTTGTCATTCAAGCCTCTTTTCCTCTTGCCATTGGGTAAGGAGTTGGCCAAGGTCTTGTCGTCAAAAAATGCACACACGAGTTTTCTAAAGAGCAGGCTTCCTGAGCGAGTATAATTTGCTAATATAGAGTCCAGTTGTGATTTAGCCATAAAGACATCAAAGCCTTCTGCAAGTTGCACTTCTGGCTACCAAAAGAATATTGATACATTATTAGCATCTTCTTCATAATTATTTTGTTCAAAATGAAAGTGAAAGTGATATATTTACACCAATATATACACAAGGCTCTTCTGCCCTACAACAGGTTTCAATTTCACGAAAATAAAATGTATTGAGAATAACAAAATACAAATTGTTATAGTTAATGTTTATTAATATTCTTTGAAGAATCCCAAAGTGATGATTACACAGATGTCTACACAATTTAATAATTTAATATCATCGTTTCAAAATATTTATTCAGCCACAGACAGCACTCAATAATTCAGATACAGTATTAGCAATTTAGTGTTATGGTTTGAATGCTGGACTACAGTTCTGGAGACCGGAGTTTGAATGCCCACCCTGTAAGTTGCTCACCCTGCATAACTTTTAATAAACAAGCATCTCTGTAGCACAGTGGGTTAAACCCCTGTGCCGGCAGGACTGAAGACCGACAGGTCGTAGGTTCGAATCCGAGGAGAGGCGGATGAGCTCCCTCTATCAGCTCCAGCTCCTCATGCGGGGACATGAGAGAAGCCTCCCACAAGGATAATAAAAAAATCAATTCATCCAGGCGTCCCCTGGGCAACGTCCTTGCAGACGACCAATTCTCTCACACCAGAAGCGAATTGCAGTTTCTCAAGTCGCTCCTGACACGACAAAATCTCTTAAAATACAGATTAACTGCCACTTAACAAGTAATTTGCTCAAAGTCTCCCAGTGAGTTTTGATGGAGGAGCAGGGATTCAAATTCTGGTCATAGAGTTAACAGTCCAACTATCAAGACCCAATCTTATAATTTTTTCCCCCCGTCGTGTCAGGTGCAACTTGAGAACCTGCAAGTTGCTTCTGGTGTGAGAGAATTGGCCGTCTGCAAGGACATTGCCCAGGGGACGCCCAGATGATTTGATGTTTTTATCATCCTTGTGGGAGGCTTCTCTCATGTCCCCGCATGGAGCTGGAGCTGATAGAGGGAGCTCATCCGCCTCTCCCCGGATTCGAACCTGCGACCTGTCGGTCTTCAGTTTAAAGCTATAGCTCAGTCTGTTTACTGACAAACAGTTCATCCAACTGAGCCAAGGTTATTTTCAACTGAGCACCCAAATACAATAGGAAATCAAAATAGTTATTTCATTTTCTTGATGTACGAACAAACTAAAGGTAGAATAAAATAATAATTAACAACTAGAGTGACCTTCAGTTGCAATAAGACACTATTTTTCCCATAGTCATAAAAAAATAATAGAAAAAGGAAGAGGCAAATAACAATGAAACAAAAGATAAGAAGATCCTGAGATTGGAATGGAAGTCATTTTATTTTATATTTTTTTCTTTTTCTTTTTTGTATTTTTTTTTGCATTTTTGTTTTTTTTTCTTTTCTTTCCTGATTGTATTTCCTACTTTCCTATCTTCTTCTTGAATATTCACCCTCTTTCTATGTAGTTATGTTAGAAACTGATCAATAAAAATTTATTTTAAAAAAAAGACACTATTTTTTTCTAAACCTGTATTTCCTGTGTCTAGCTTATTTATTCATATTTATTCATATTGCATTCTATATAAGGAGAGAAATGTAAGATTTTTTTTAAATGCTGAAAATCTGACACAAGTGTAGGGTCCATTGGTACACAAGCAGAGATTAGAAGGTTGAAAATACAAAGTTCATGTCCTCAACTATTAACACGCTTCATGTCCTTAACAAAAAAAAGGCAGGATTGTTATAATGTGCGGCACAATTTGTTTGGATCACAGCTTCATGGATGTGTTTTCCTCATTTCTGAACTCTTCCTCCTCTCAGTGACTGCTATAAACAGTGTATTATAAAAAAGGCATATTCTCTATAGTGACAGGAAAATGGTGCAAGATTCTAGTGACCAGTATATTACTCAGTAATAGCAACAATAATTGAAAAAATAATCCTGAAAATAACCCATTAGAAAATCAGTATCATCCCTATATTGCAAAAGATAGAAGCATATTTGTACAACAGGAACATTACATAGGCAAAACAGTTTGTATTGTTTGTAGGTTTGTATGTGTGTATTTTATAAATGCCTCAGTCTGTACTCCAGTCACATAATTTGAAAATAAAATGCTGATTTATTCCAGATTCCTTCAGTAGTGAATTATCTTTCAATTGGAAGCAATCAGTATCCAACTGAGTGTCACATGGACATCTCCAAGCATGATTTATAGCCAAACAGGGTTTGCTAACAGAAAATAATCAAAGCAATGGCATAATTAACATAAATGAGAAAACTGTGAAACCTTTTGTTATGTTAATATTAGTAAGCAGCAAATTAGATCTAATTTTAAGTGTATCTGAACATTTTCATTGATTAAAATAGATTTCCCTTGCCAATTCTACCAAAATTATTTGCTTTGCAGAGAAAACTAACAACATTAATTTACAAGAGTATTCAATTAGTTTCTGGTTATAAAAGGGCAATAATAGTAGGCTGAAGTACTCTGCAGTTGTTTGGGATTAAGGCCCACAAAACACAGTTTGGAGTACAATGAAACCTTTGGATCAGCAGGCTCTGGATTGGTGATTTCTACCAACTGCTCATTGCCATATCCTGCACAAAAAATTCTGTGACATGAACATGGACACACTGAAACACATGTTGGCACATTGATTCCATTTAATATGGGAAGCAATTTCCCACCACATCAGTCGAGGGTCCCCAGAATAGAACCCCTACAGATCCAGAGGGTCCACTGTACTTTTGAAGAACTTGCATGTGCTTCCCATGTTAAGCGGTTAGGGCAAATCTACCACATATACTCGAGTATAAGTCGACCCGAATATAAGCCGAGTCACTTAATTTTACCACAAAAACTGGGAAAACGGATTGACTCAAGTATAAGCCGAGGGTGAGAAATTCAGAAGCTACTGGTTCATTTCAAAATGAAAATAGATACCAATAAAATTACATTAATTGTAGGTTAAATGTTTTTGAATATTTATATAGAATTGTAATTTAAGATGAGACTGCCCTAACCTTCTTCAATGTAAATGTGCTTACGTATCCTTCCAATAATAATAAAGACAGTAAAATAATAAATGGAATAATAATAATAGAGTGAAATAATAAATGCAATAATAACAATCGTAGAGTAAAATAATACATTTAATGATAACACTTATAAAATAAAATAATAACTGTAATAATAATAAAGTAAAATGATAACTATAATAATAATAGAGTAAAATAATAAATATAATAATAACAATAATAGCAACAACAATAATGACAGAGTAAAATAATAAATAACTGACTCGAGTATAAGCCGAGGGAGACTTTTTCAGCCTAAAACAAGGGTTGAAAAACTAAGCTTATACTTGAGTATATACAGTAAATGCTAAACTACATTTTATGATACTCATTATTTTTTTAAAAGTATACTAGTAATCAGAGGCTGAAAGCAGGAATATGGGAAAGTGCTTTCTCATGTTCTGTTACAAAGGTAATTTCCCTACGTATTGGACACAAAGGAAGGCTTATCCAATAGATCTCAATTCTCAAGTAGGCATATGCAGTATAAAAAAGGTTTTCGAGTATCAAAATTCCTTTTTCAAACATGGGCATAAACAGTTGATCTTTGAAGAAAATGATCCACAGAGCTCCAGCCAATAATTGATTTATTTGATTTATACTGTGCCTTCCTCCCAATATGAGGCCCAAATAATGTTGTGTGTTGTTGTGTTATTTTTGTGTGTGTTTTTTTTGTTTCTGATGTATTTGGGCTCAGCCTCTTGAAAGCCGCACCGAGTCCTGCGGGAGATGGTAGTGGGGTATAAATAAAGGTTGTTTATTATTATTATTATTATTATTATTATTATTATTATTATTATTATTCTACTGAAAAGCTCCATGGCTACAAGCAGTAAACAATAAAACAATATCCTTATAGAAAACCAGCAAATATTGAGGTAGGATGGGCCTGTACTTTTATCAGAAAACTTGAAGTCAAGAATGGGAATATATGGGAACTGTGCACTTGATTCTAGTCTAAAACACATATGATCCATTTGAACCCCTTAAAAAAACTAAGAATAACAAAAGACAATTGGGTATATTTTGACCACAATACTGAGATCTACTGGTAAATACTCTTCACTTCTAGTTCAAACTCCCTTCAGCTTCAATTTCACTGAGTGGCCATAAGCAAGCAATTATTTCACATTTCTCAAACCCTGGGAATGCTATAGATATAGTATCTAAATGCTAGTTACAGCAGTGATTATTATAATCTCCTGCATTCATAGGCATCCATTACAACTGAGAGATTCACAACAGGAGTCGCTTAGTTAATTGAGATCTAAAATGTCACCATGGAATAAAGAATCAGAGAGCTGAACCTAATGTATGTATTTCAGTTAATATGTAATGAATATCAACTATCAGGACAAGCAGGATCTAGCAATAAAATCCACTGGTTCCAGTCACTCCATTCCAGTACCCTTTATATCATAGAATCTTAGAATAAAAGAGTTGGAAGAGACCTCATGGGCCATCCAGTCCAACCCACTGCCAAGAAGCAGGATTATTGCATTCAAATCACCCCTGACAGATGGCCATCCAGCCCCTGTTTAAAAGCTTCCAAAGAAGGAGCCTCCACCACACTCCGGGGCAGAGAGTTCTACTGCTGAACGGCTCTCACAGTCAGGAAGTTCTTCCTCATGTTCAGATGGAAACTCCTCTCTTGTAGTTTGAAGCCATTGTTCCGCGTCCTAGTCTCCAAGGAAGCAGAAAACAAGCTTGCTCCCTCCTCCCTGTGGCTTCCTCTCACATATTTATACATGGCTATCATATCTCCTCTCAGCCTTCTCTTCTTTAGGCTAAACATGCCCAGCTCCTTAAGCCGCTCCTCGTAGGGCTTGTTCTTCAGACCCTTGATCATTTTAGTCGCCCTCCTCTGGACACATATCCTCCTCCTCCCTTCCAACACTCAGTTGCCTATGAAACAGACTCTGTCC